AAATTTTCTTTTTTTTTTTTTTTTTTTTTTCTTTAAATATACTTCAGTTCAATTTCAACCAAATACAATTTTTCGAGAGACTGCAAACTATGCTTACTCGTTGAAAATTTATTTCACGACGATCGTCTGTCAACCATTGAGTCACTATTGATGGTCTTGGATATATATATATATATATATTGATTATCCAAAATATTTAGATTTTCTGCTGTAAAGGAGGTAAAACTTTACAGTGAAAAATAAGTAATTCTGCGTATTCTTGATCTATGTATAATCCAATTCTTGCGATTATAATAAGGTAATAAAGTCACAGTTGGAAAAATATAGGACATTACAATGCGCTCACCTCCACCATTTTTATAACATAAGTAAGGAAATCTCCAAACGTTGGCAAGGTCAACGGCGAATCCAATGACAGATAACAGGAAATCAACCTTGCCGGACCAAGTCTCCCTGCTGTCGACCCCGTCGTTTAACTTTAAAGGGTTCTTCACCACTCTAGACGACATCTCTCGCTTTCCTGCAATAAACGAATTAATTCGTTCGTAGTAATTTTCCCTGCAAAATTATGCTACGACCAGCATACAGAGAAAGTTCATCTACTGACAATAAATTTTACGATAATCAAAAGTTTCAGCCAGCTTTCGACAATAATATATCGCGTTTCGAAACTTACAAATTTGTTCGTCAAAAGAATTTCAACGAACGCGTATCATTGTCCAAATATTGAATTATTCGAATAGTTCATAGAATTTTGATCAATCGGTATTACATTCTGCTATGTACATATTTGACGAGATTCGAAGAGAAGCTCCGACGAAGAATGATCTAACAATAAATGAGAAAATCTTTTATTTGAAAAAAGCACGGAGAAAGTTGAACCCCAATAAAAAAGAATCCATATGTTTTAAAACGTCCAAAAGCACTTACTTACACTACACATATATATTCAAAACTATTTAGAAATCAGCTAGTCTTAAAATTTTTTTCAAGTTTGGAATTCTTTCTCGAACAAGTCGGTATGATCGCCGATGATTTAAACCGCAAGAGAAAGAGAACGCGAGCTCCATGAAAAATCGTGGCACGAAACACGGCAACAAATCGAAATCCATCGAATGGACAGAGATATCTCGATCGAGTTGACGAGCGCAATGAGTCCTCGTTCAACAGCGATCTCTTTTTCCTTTTTTCTCTTTTTTTTTTTTTCTTTTTTTAAATATTCACGCCTAAAAGTTTGCTAATTCTTTGTCCATCAAAATCTGATATTACCAGAGTAATAGTTCGTGTACAAAAGTAGTCGAGGTTCAATATTAAATTTCACAACGAACGATGAAGGTAATTGGCGTTTAGCGTTTAGAAGAGTAGAAACTCGAACTTGATGAAAAGCTTTTGTTGGGAGCTTCATTTGGGAAAAAAAGGAGGGGGGGGGGGAGAAAAAAGAAAGAAAGAAAGGAAAAGAGACACTTGGCACATAGTGATCTAATATTATGTTCTGTAAAAGATTGAAGATTCGACTCGGGGGAGGTGGCAGGGGAAGGATGAGGTAGAAGAAAAGAGGGTGGTGGATGGAGGAAGCATGTGCGGGCGCGTGCGGGCGCGGTCACGTGTAATTTGGCGACGACAAGTTATCGATAGCCCTTCAGGCGACAACGCTTAACCCCCGAGCGAGGCTCATTGTGCCCTGGTGACGGGTTCCGGACAAACAGCGTATATTTCAAAGGCGACCGCGGCACCGGCTTCGAGGGGACTCTCGACGAGGGGTTTTCTGTCACACGCACTGATCCATGCTTGTCTATAGATCGACCCGATTAATTGATATTCGGCGGTTATTGCCGAACGACGATGGAACTCTCTTTCTCTCTTTCTCGCTTGGTTACTATCTCTCACTTGGTGTCTCAGTCGACACGACAGTCGATGCGACGAAAAATACTGCTTTTTACACCTATTGACTTTTAATCAGAGAACAGTTACGATTATCAAAGCCCTGTCCAGATTAGTCCAGAGTAACTTGAACTCAAGTCACTTTGAGTTTTTCGTTCGTGCTAAATCTGATATATTTTTGTACTCTTGCTTCCATTTACAGTGCAAGTTCTCTGTAATTCTTTTATAGAGAAAATGATCTGTCGTTCTCTGATCGATATAACGTTGTTCGTCCGTAAGAAGGTGATCAAGGAGAAATCAAACTCCATGAACAAGACATGACAAGTGACATTGGATTATTTCGCGACCAAATACCTAACGAATGATGTGAACTGAAATACGAAAAATAAATGTAACGGGAGATTTGTGACACATATTTATGAAAAATATACATACATTCTGTAGCACGAGATTAGAGACTTCTCGATTACTTATAAAATTACGAGATATTCACGAAATTGCAATTAATATAACAGGCTCCGGTGCTAACAGGAAATTAAAAGTCAAAAAGCAAGAGGGAAAATCTGTAAAATATGATTCGATCAAAAATTTTTCGGCTCACTTAAAATAATACCTTTTCTTAATATTATCGAATTACTTAATTTGAAATAAAACAAGAATAACTCGTATGTATGCAACGATGTAAGCTATATACCTTATAAATAAATATATACGTTAAATTAAAAAAGAAAAAGTAATTATTTCAATCATTGATCCGCCATTAATTTTTAGAATTTAAAACAATGAAACTCACATACTGTTATTGTTAATCGATCCGAAAATGTCCGGATGTTTATGAGCAATAGTATATAATAATTAAGTATGATAAATCTTGAATGAAAATAAGATTTATACAGAAGAGACTGTTCTAAACGCATAATAGCTAAACAAAAAAAGTACTACAAAAATTACACAGTAAAAAGTGAAGTACGACTAATTTCAAACACAAGCAATATATAGTATGCAATAGCATTATAAAACGAAAACTCGGCCAAGAAACAATTCTAAGGCACATACCTTGCTTCGAGATCTAGAAAAGAGAATCTTGTTCGAAAAAGATTGAATGAAACACGTTCCCCAAGATTTAAAATCATGACGCATGAATGCACGGAAAGAACAGGCGTTGGAACGTTGAAGATGTGCAAATTCGGAAAAATAAAACGGTGAAATTTGGGAATAGGGCTTAGTAAAGACTAAGATGAAGGCTTAGTTACATCTCCGAATCACAAAGATGATGAACTATTATATTTTGTACGTTAACTTGTTGCGTGCTATTTCTAAACTTATCTCTCTTTTCTTGTTCTTATCATTATTTAGGTTAATCGAAAAAGATATCCACAGTTTTTTTTCTTGAAAAATAATTTACCGTTTCAACTGAAACTTCTTCCAATTAATTTTGGATTTAATTGCCTTCTTCCTATTTGACAATTCATTCATTATGTATCCGCTTTAGTTTTATTATGTGTCTGCTTTAGTTTTACTCGAAATAATACTTAAACGAACATTATGAAATATTTGATTATATCTCTTTAAGAAAAATAAACCGCTGCTTATAACATGTTGCTTATTATCAGGTACGTGGTCCATACATACATTTATTAGGGATTACACTATGTCTGTAGTAAAAGTCTATTTAAATGAAATTTGAAACTATAGTGTCAGATTTTTCTTGCTATAACTGTATAAAAAAAATATACCCAAATATGAAATATTGCTGTTAATTACAAATCAATCGATATTTACTTTCAATTACTCATTTCCCATTTATATGTATTTTCCATCTTTCAATTTCCTTTTTTCTTGCATGTATGTATGTTCATAGCAAAACCATTTTGTAATCGTTCTTTTGAAAAAAATAATAGACATTGTAGCCACGTTAAGTTAGTTATAAATAAACTTTTTGTTATAAGTGAACAATTAGCAACAATGAGCAATTTTGTATCAATACGTAATATGAAAATAGAATTCAATATTGAAATTTTGATAGATCCTATTATTCACTTTCATCTTATCATTTTTCTTGCAGATTCTAAGATTTCAACGAGAGAAATGCATTATTTCTTACGGAAGAATCGGCAAATTGCTTCGATTTTCCACGAATCACATCTTACTGATACATATCCATTTATTAAAAACGAGTTAGATCTTGAAACATGAGAATAGAGGTAATCATCGAAACCACAAACGGCCATGAAAAATAAGAGTATTTACACATGAAACATATACCTGTAACGTTAAATCGAATTTATTCTACACACGTAACTTTAACACCAAATTATCTTCCTAACATTTGCAGAAATGGGAAAAAAATTCATTTTTAGTCATTGTTCACGTTTCGTGGTATCATAATAATATAATAATAATAATAACAACAACAACAACAACAACAACAACGATATAATAAATAATACTCAACTTAATGATTAGTAATCTGAATATATTGCATTTGTATTAGCGAGATTGTAAAATTTCACTCTTCACTTACCAAATAACCTGTCCAAAACGATTAACGAGTAAAACCGACGATGCTGTGGCTTGGTAAGACACCGCTACAGTGACCGCAGACTTCTTCGGTCCACACGACTCCCACGACGAGAGCCCGCCACAGGGTCAAAAGTACCTCGAAACTCGTATCCGTCAGACCCATTACCGCGACACTAACTGTCCACGAAATATTTCTTTCTTCTCTTTGAAAGTGGAAAATGATCCTCCAGACGAAATTGCAACTAAAATTTAACGATTACTCGTGCCTCAAATATATTCAAAAATTTACGTGTGTCTTTTACTTTCCACTTGTCTCTTTTCGCTTCGAAAATGCGATGAAAGGAATCATCAAATCGTACAAGTTCGTAAATTACTGTCCTACGTACGTACGTATGTACGCGCTTCTATTTCAAATTGTAATTTGAATACTTTGCACAGAGAGATGCAAATAGCAAAATGAATGAGCCAACTGCTTTGCAGACTATTTTCTAAAACAATTACTCATCGATCGCGATGATGGACCATCGGAAAGTTGTGTAAATTTGAAAAGAGACCCTCATCGTAAAGGTTCGAAAGAATGAGTGAGGAAATTTACCGGTAGCAGGACGTATATACGCGCTGTGGTCACGTGACGCTGCGTAGTCCAACCCAAAGACATCTATTTCCTGTCTGCGCATGCACGAATCTCGCGGCGTCCAAAAAAGCCGCACACATCGGCCTTTTACATCGAATGCCAATAAAATCTAATCAATTGTGTTAATTAAAAATCTTATTTCTTTTTCTTTCTTTCAGGGATAATAGTTCAATTTCGGCTAAATCGTCGAATTTAATGCGTGTGTGTCATATACAAAACGCGTGCGTACATATATACACGTAAAATATATATTGTTACAAATTCCTGAGCAAAGTGTGTTTCTCTGTCCATTAGTACTTTTCTTCCATAAATATGCAAACTTTACATTTAACTTCTTACATACATTGAACTCAGATAGAGAACGAAAAACAAAAGATTCTTTTTAACACTCAACTTAGAATACTAGGTACTTTTAGTTGTTTTGGAATAACGCAACAATATATGCGTGTTTTGAATAAGAAAAATGAATTACATCTTGAAAGTACCAACATGTAAGATTCTGGGTATGTAAAATTTCGAAATAAAAGACTGAAATTAGTACTCTACAGATCGGCTACATAATCGTAAATGTAAAAACAAATATTCCTCGCAAACGTCCAATTGTTTTATTATTATTCTATATAAAAGAAAATTAAATATATTTGGAATATAATATTTCTAAAAATAATAAAAGTTATATAGTTTTGACACTGATACATTACTGAATAAAATACAACATCTTTTACAGCAATATCATATTAAATGTGTTGAGAATATGATTGTATCATCACAAACGAGCATTTGTGGTCATATTGATCCTATTTTTAGTTAATGGTGCCATTACTATGCTAAATTGACAAAAATGATTTAGTAATTTTCAACAGATGAATATTAGAATTTATGTCACTTGTCATATTCAATGTACTGCAAAATTACAATAAAACTGTTAAAAATTTAACATAAATTTGCGTATATAATATAAGTAAATAAGGAAATTAAATTTGGTGACGATAAATCATGACTAATTGGCTCAAATATGCATAGAAAATAATTCAATAAATAGTTGAAAATTTAATTAGTTAAAAATTATTTTTAAGAATGTTTCATGAAATATAAAGTGTTTATATTAAAAATCATGTGTTAATAGCTTTAAAATTTTAATATACTATGTGCAAAAACCTATCGTGAATCCGTAAAATACAGATAGAGCTCTTTCTAATAAGTATAATCTAGAATAATTTCATTTTTTACTAATTTCACGTTTCCGCATGAAAATTTGATAAAATTTAACAAATTCAGATATCATATCTCTAGCGTTACTTGATCAACTTCAATCGTTTTATTTGTAATTAGTCAATGGTAATTCAATGGTAATTCAATGGTAATCACCGTTCTTTGAATATAGAGTGCGCTAAAAAACCAATGATTTCTTTACCATGTCGGTATTTCAGGACATGCGACACGAACTTCCATAAGATGTTATGTTTATTCTGTATCTTATTTGTGACTTTGCGAGAAACTTATTATCACAGATGAGATATGATACCTCATACATGCTAGTATATTACTTATATTTAATGTTTTCCAATTTTAATGCATTCAGACTGTCATGTTAATTCAAATAGGTGTATCTGGTCAAAAGTAATTTAACAAACGACTTTAGAGAAAACACTTTTAGTATTTAACAATTAGGCATTGATTTCATATACATCCGAAATATAAACTATTAGATTTTGAGTTTCAATGAAGTTAAGATTTTCCTATAATATATATGTAAATAAACTATTTTCCTACTTGGTATTAATAGCTTAATTTAAGCAAAAGTTTTAATTTAACACGGCTCAGTTCACTTTTAAAACTATTAGATCTATTTCTACTCTTGTAGAAATTCTATTTCTACTCTAATGTGTCAGAATTAAATGACACATTAAATGACACAAAGATAACGACAACTTACAATTAGATGCAAGGATGTATATAATTGTGGTCCAGAGGAAATCATTGCAAATATCATTAAACAAAAATGTTTAAATCTGGAGGGAAATGTCTGTAACAAATCACGATCACGATTGAATATACATATATATAATAATTCTTTTAAATAATAGTCACTGTTTTAAATTATAGATATACTCGATAATTCGAAAACAAATCCTACCGGTAGTTTTTATTTGACAATTCACGGATAAGCAGTTTCTTGCTACATTTCCTGTCATGTTCCCACCTAAAACTGACCGTTTTACGTTACACTTCAACATTAGATCGATTTTAGATCGATTACGTTCGAAAAATCATCGATTACGTTCAAGAATCGCAATACGTAATTGCGAAATTTCCCCGCTTCATTGTCGCCATAATCTTTACTAGTTATCGCGCGCGCATTTTGAATGAAAATACATCACGTAAATTTTTACGAAATTGTTACGCCTTACGTAAAATACAAAAAATTATGTCTGTAATTTTATTTTTTAAATCTAGGCCAAATTTTAAGTTAAAATCTAATAAATTTAATTTTTTGACGAATGAACGAGACGTGAATCTAATCTATTCTTAGTCAATTTTTTTTTTCATTAACAGACGTTTATTTTGTGCCAGTATATACAGTATTTACTGTACAATTATTTACAGTATATACTGTACAATTATTGCACTTTCTGTTGAATAGCATTGTGAAAAGCTGTAACTATTAAGTGCAGAGATTTATTGCATTTATCACCGAGGATTATTTCAAATACTATATACCTACGGATGTATGTAAAATTAATAACAAAATATATAATAAAAGTAAATGAATAAATAATATCACAATAATAATTTATAATAAAAAATAAAAATTCTATTACCGAATCTACCTGTTTTTAAACCAAACCATGTTTTAGGTTATGTACATTTTGAACTTAAATAAAAAAACAACGAGAAAATATTATATTCACATGCTATTATATTCACTATATATTATTCTGCTAAGTATAATACTGGTATCATCTCAAAGAAATTTAATTCTGTAGTAAAATATTCCAATAAAAAAAAAACTTGTTGTAAATGAGATATAATGACGCTTAGTTGAAAAATGAAACGATTTCAAAATTTCAAATTTCAAATGTATATTGAACTTATCTCCATATACATCAAATTGTTCATAGCGATAGTTAAATAATTTATGTTATTCCAGTTACTAGTGTATCTATAGAGATAAAGAAGAAAAGAACAGAATTCATACTAACGACATTAGCTTATCATCGAGATACGTATCTACGAATTGTTCGAGTACTTCATGCGTATCGCATATTACATCCGCTTGCGCAAGTCACTAGTTTCGTCGCCATCATAGCGACGAGATCGCGACCGCATTTGGCCGTAGAGCCAGGAATTGGGATAATCGTCGTTTGCGACGAGAAAGCGAAACAGAGCTTTTGCTCTGTTACACCTGTGTTTTTCATCATCCTAATACCGTTACATCGGCCGTGAATTATCGGCATCTCGAGGATTTTTTCTTCACTTTTGACTATATCGAAACATGGCTTATTGAAGATGAAGGGCCTGCAGAAATACATTGTTTCTCCATACGGAGGAAACCGTAGCCTCAACAACTCTGGAATTCAGCACGGACGTATTCGTGCCAGACATGGAAAAAAATACGAAATTTCCGCAATCTTCCGCAAAGGCGGTTCCTGCTGATGCTAAAAAGTCTCAAGGTACGTTATGCAAATGTCGTTATTACTTCGACAACGACGTCATCACTTTGCCAATGTCTTACATTTGTACCCTCTATCAGCAAACAAATTTTTTGTCCTGTAGTTCCTCTTCAAAGTCCTTAACGTTCAATACTCGTTTTATTTACTTGTGACTCAGATTATTTTGACGAAATATTTTAATTATACGATATCTATTGAACTCTTCAAGAATTTTTATTAATTAATGGATATGAAGCATAATTTTAGTATATTTAAATATGTTGTATATACATTCATTACATATATATGTATATACGTTATTCATTTCAAATGTTGTACATTAAATACAATACTTACACTCGTACATATATTGGTAGAGGTTACTAAGAAATTTAAAAAATTAGAAATTATTACAGATGTCACAAATAAAGCTTTTCCAAAGAATTCGCGTAAGCGCGAATCAGCAGGCACTAGCAGTTTTTCAAAATCTGAACAATCAAGGAAGTATAATGTACAGAAAACAAAAAATTTTGATAAGAGACCAAAACCTAAAGGACAATATTATGGCAGTTCAAAGGAGAATACCAAGGTTCATTTTCATATTATTCAATTATATTGATATACTCGTTATCTATGTACGAAATTAGAGTCAAACTGATTTAAACTTTTAGGTAGTGCAAGCAGAATTAGCTGAGCCCGGCTCGGTAATGGTCCACGGAAGTAAAAAGCAGAGTTTGAATCATCTGCTAAATTTTCGTTATGAGCCACGTGAAATGCAAAATGGTACAAGTGCATGGAGTTATGGAAAATCAATGAAGGGTTTCTTTAGAAACAGCAATAGATGGCTTCCACCAGTCCAACGACATAAATATAACAAAGAACAGTTCTTGCAAGCTAGGTTAACATAAATACTTTATGTTAATACCAACAATAATATAAAATTTATATTAACAACAGATTAACATAAGCTTTATTGTTTTATTATTTTTTAGCTGCCAGTTTGTTGTAAGTGCCAATGGCAATTACACTGTATGTCTAAGTGATCCTGATGTACTAGTTGATTGGAACCTCATAGAACAAATTGTAAGTTACAAATATGTCAATAAAAAATTGGTCTCTGTTTATTTTAGATAATAATGATAACCATGAAATTCTATTCTTCAGAAACTTTACAGTTTTGAAAGTTTATCATGCCCGATATGTTTATATCCACCAACGGCTGGAAAAATGACACGTTGCGGTCATGTTTATTGTTGGCATTGTATCCTACATTATTTATCACTCTCTGATAAATCTTGGCGTACATGTCCTATTTGTTATGAATTTATTCAAAAATCCGATTTAAAAAGGTAATTTATTTAAATGTATAGATAATATTCAATTTTTAAATTACGTTTCCTGCAAAAAAACAAAAAAATTTTTTTTGTTTTCTGTTCTAGCGTTAACGAAATCACTCAAAGTACATTAAATTTAGGGGATATTATTACTTTACGTTTGATGCGTCGCGAGAAAGAATCACTACTTGCAGTACCTGTTGGATCTTCAATTCAAAATCCAACAAACTTTTTCTCAGTTTCAGAAACTCTTAGCAAAGAAGTGTATTCAAAGCTTCTTATTGCAAGTACCGAGGATGTAAGTTCTTGAAACAACGGAAAGAACAAAAATTTTAAATTGTCAATGTTAATTATAATTCTTATCATGAATTACAATTCAGGTGATGAATATCATCGAGCATGAACGTACACAATTGAAACTTGAATTATCAAAAACTCCTAATTCTTCGGAACAGTATATTGAACAAGCGCTTGACGAACTTTCAAAGAGGGAAACAGAATTATTGCAAAGGACAAAGTTAACTGAAGTAAATTTTCTTAATTCCTAAATTAAAGCCTATTTTATTAATGAAATTCTTTTTTCATGAAAACGAAATCTTTATAGGTGAAATCAGAGGTCGTTCCTCAGTGCGAAAGTACAACATTGGACTATAAATTACAAATAGAAAAGAATAACATTAAGAAGTCTCAATTAGGATCTCAAAACCAACAAGAAATAAATACTTCAACGAAAAAATATGTAAAAAATGTGGATGAAGAAATAAAATCTACAGAAAGTTCATTTAGCAACGCGCAATCAACTTCAGGCACATCAAAATTCTTTTATTTTTATCAAGGTTTTTAATAAAGTTCTTTTTTTCTGCCTATAATATTTATTTATGAAGAATTGAATTTAATATGTGTATGACTTTCAGCGGAAGATGGGCAGCATTTATATCTTCATGCAATGAACGTAAAGATGTTGGAAATGCAGTATGGTAATCTTGAAAATTGTCCTCACATAATAAAAGGAAAACTCCTCGAGAAAGAGGAAGGAAGTCTTACAGAAGATTTAAGACGTAGATTTAGATACTTGGGTCACTTGCCATTAACTTGCCAATTCGAGATAGCAGAAATTGAATTGAAACCACCACTCGTGTCGAAGGAAATTTTATCTTCATTTCGAGGTAATTTTTTCGCTCTTTTTAGTGTCTATTAATATTTTAATCTATATTGTAATTCATTTTATAGATCAGTTAACGCTAAGACACAAACATAGGCGACAACGAGAATATGAAGAGAGGCAGAGGGAAAGGGAAATTACTGAGAAAGAAAATAAACGAATGGGAAAATACCCAACTCCTGTCGTACACATTGATTCGCAGCAAGATTTTCCTGAATTTTCCGAGTATGTATATTTACTGAATATACTATAATGTTTCATCGCACATCTCACACTATACAATATATTTCCAGGGAAAATATTCCATCACCACTAGAATCTATAGCAACTTCAAGTGCAGCTAGTAGTCCATCTTCAAGCACATTTGACGAAATAGTTGCATCTAGACAAACTGACAATGTTACTCGAGAAGCGGTACCATCGTTTGCGGAAATGGTCCAAAACACAGGCACACGTTTGAAATCGCAAACTGTCTGGCCATCAATTAATTCCAGACATAAGAAACAACCTTCTGCTATTCAGTTACCCCCAAGAAACATCGAAGAGGAAGAAGAAGAAGATTATGTCTCAGTACCATCATACAGTCAGAATCTTGGTGATGCTTTAGCAGTTGCTTTACAGCAAAATAAGTTAGGTGAGTTTACTATGTTCGGTTATTCACAAAACATTTTTGATATTAATAATATAAAATGTAAATTATCTTATCTTTAATTTATAAGGAATTAAAAAGCATGATATAAAGCTTGATGTTCATCTTTTAGAGACAAAGAAAAATGGAAAAAAGAAGAAGAAGAAGAAAGGAAAATCAATCAATTTCTTTTAAAAACAAAGAAAAATGGAGTTGGAAAAATGAAGAAAGGAAAAAATCAATCGTATTCCTTAAAACTATTATGGCACATGAATCTTAATTTCTTTCACAATAATGCTTGCACTCTTGTAATTTCAATTTTGCAATTTAATTATTTCGTTATCACATGTTATATTTTCGATTATATTGGGTATATGTTAGAAAATTTATGGAATCCTAGTATAAATCGTAACATGTAATTATATATTGTATAATTTTCATCCTTATAGGTATTATTGATTGCCAAACATTTGTTTTCTGTAGCATTCAGGTCTGTTGTGCTTGCAAATAAAATTTAATTTCATGAAAGGTATTCTGAATTTTTTATTACACTATTATTTTCAAATTCGAATTAAAAAAAAAATCTACCTACAAATACATGTACTGTATATCCTTTTATGTTGGAAAAAATATAAAAAAATATTTCAATGAACTATCAAATTTAATGAACTATAAAGACTAATTTTATTTAAATAAAGGTAATAAATAAATTATAAGCAATTTATGTAAGTTTCAGTGATCGTTTTATATTTTCAGTTTTTTGAACATAGAAAGTTAACAACTGATCTTTACTGATCCATGTTACTGAATTATAAGAATTACACAGTACCTCTTACGATTTATTCCTATGCGGAAAACGATCTTTCGTTCCTAAAAATATTAATTTATCAGGTTTTAGGTTTTTTTCCTATCACATTGTAAAAATCATCCCAGATTTATTTTATTTTGTAAAACTAGTCAAATGATCTTCAGCAGATTACAATATGTAAAAAATATTACAATATTACAATTGTATTACATAATACTATAATATCACAATATTATTTTTTACATATTGCAATCTGCTCAAGATCATTTGGCTAGTTTTACAAAATTAAATAAATAAATCTGGAACGATTTTTACAATATGATAGAAAGAAAATCTAGATAAATTAATATTTTTAGGAACGAAAGATCGATCGTTAGCTGCGTAATTCTATGTTCTTTAAATTGGTGTAATTTTCCGCATAAATTGTAAGAGGACACTGGCAAGCCAGTAAGATAACGACTTAATCGACTTCTTCGATTGTAGGGCCACCAGATGCACCACCGCCAGGGGCACCAGCTCCAGCTCCAGGGAAACCACCAGGCATTCCACTAGGCATTCCTCCGGTACCCTGGTAGAGTTTTGTGACAATAGGATTACATATAGCTTCCAATTCTTTTTGTTTATGTTCATATTCTTCTTTATCAGCCAGCTGATTAGCATCGAGCCATTTAATGATATCATTGCATTTATCTAATACAACTTGCTTATCACTAGCGCTGATCTTGTCTTTCAGTTTTTCATCTTCCACTGTGCTCTTCATGTTAAAGCAGTAAGACTCAAGACCATTCTTAGCAGCAATAGTTTCTTTTTGCTTCTCATCCTCGCTACGATATTTCTCAGCTTCATTGACCATTCTCTCAATATCTTCTTTACTAAGACGGCCTTTATCATTGGTAATGGTAATTTTGTTCTCTTTGCCTGTAGATTTATCCACTGCCGAGACATTTAAGATACCATTGGCATCAATATCAAAAGTAACTTCAATCTGAGGAACTCCACGAGGAGCTGGTGGAATCCCACTGAGCTCAAATTTACCCAACAAATTGTTATCCTTAGTCATCGCACGTTCTCCTTCGTAGACTTGAATCAATACTCCTGGTTGATTATCAGCATATGTAGTGAAGGTTTGAGTTTGTTTGGTTGGAATAGTAGTGTTCCTTTTGATGAGGGCCGTCATAACGCCACCAGCAGTTTCAATTCCAAGAGACAAAGGTGTTACATCAAGAAGCAGTAAGTCTTGTACTTCTTCAGACTTGTCGCCATGTAGAATAGCGGCTTGTACAGCAGCTCCATAAGCTACAGCTTCGTCAGGGTTGATAGATTTATTCAATTCCTTGCCGTTGAAGAAATCTTGCAATAATTTTTGGATCTTAGGAATACGTGTAGATCCACCAACCAGAACGATGTCGTGAATCTGAGCTTTATCCATTTTAGCGTCACGCAACGACTTTTCCACTGGCTCCAGTGTTCCTCTGAAGAGATCAGCACAGAGCTCTTCGAATCGAGCTCTGGTGATTGAAGTATAGAAATCAATTCCCTCATAGAGTGAATCAATTTCGATACTGGCTTGAGTAGACGAAGACAGAGTACGTTTCGCACGTTCGCAAGCTGTTCTCAAACGGCGGAGAGCACGTTTGTTTGCAGTCAGATCTTTCTTATACTTCCGCTTGAATTCCTGGACAAAATGATTGACCATACGATTGTCGAAATCTTCGCCGCCAAGATGGGTATCTCCTGCTGTTGATTTAACCTCGAAAATGCCATCTTCGATGGTTAAAATTGAGACATCGAAGGTGCCACCACCAAGGTCAAAGATTAGGACGTTGCGTTCGGTCGTAGTTTTCTTATCCAAACCATACGCAATGGCGGCAGCAGTGGGCTCGTTGATAATACGTAAAACATTCAAACCCGAGATAGTGCCAGCGTCCTTGGTTGCCTGACGCTGCGAGTCGTTGAAGTAAGCAGGCACAGTGATCACGGCATTGCTGACAGTCTTGCCGAGATATGCTTCAGCAGTTTCTTTCATCTTTACCAAGACCATTGAACTCACTTCTTCAGGGAAGAAAGTCTTCGCCTCTCCTTTATAGTATACTTGAATTTTAGGCTTGCCACCATCATTTACAACAGTGAAGGGCCAATGTTTCATATCAGCCTGAACAGTAGGATCTTCAAAACGACGTCCAATTAGCCGTTTGGCATCTAAAAATATATAAATAACAAATTTAATATCTTAATTTAAGATTTAAACATATCATAATTTTGAATATAAAATTTAATAATAAATCATTTTGATTTCACAATTTAGTTTGATTTCACAGTTGAGTTTGTTTTTTCCAAAGATAATTTTGCATTATGTAGCAAGTGAAGAAGTGATTACTTTTTCTCGAAAATTATAAAACGCGTGTAAGAACATTAAAAAATTTTTCTTGTCTCGGATCCACCATCATTTTGAAAATCGAAGTGTTCCCTTTACAACAATCCCTCAAAACTTACTGTACAATTTTATTAAACTTTGAACATTGAAGTTACACAACGAAATGTTAGAATTTCTTGAATTTTTAACTCTGATATTCAAAGTTCAGTAAAATGACGGGAAATGATCGTACATCAAATTTTAATAGATCGTTGTAAAAAGAAAATTTCAATTCTCAAGACTATAGTGGATTTAGTCATGAGTAAAATTTTTTAATATTTCTATACGCGTTTGAATTTTGGAAATTTTCAAGGAAACCTCCCTCCCCCCACCCGTTAATATGATATCATCTTCGCAAAAAACTCACAACTATCAATGTAGATGTCTCACGCTTTAAAATGAACCAAGTGCATCGTCATATGATTCATGAATTTCTTTACCAAGTCAATTTAAATTATTCGGCAATTTTTCATTGTCATTGGTACAATTATGTCCTTCATTGTACTATCGTATTATTGTAATAAATACCGAAAATGTTACAATAAATTTCGAATTTCTAGTTTAATTTATTTATTTTATAAATGATATTTATTTTATTTTATAAATGTAATTCATTTATTATGAGAAGTTTATTTTATAAATGATAATCTGAGAAAATAATGTAATGGCGTCCGTAACATCTTTGCATCTGCGCGTGCGCACGTGTATGTATATGGATTAGGCTTCTCATCGTCATGTTAAAAAATTATCCATATCCATTTATACAAAATTCCAAGCTAGTGCTACTTTATCATTAAGTAAAACAATATACTGTCATTTTAGAAGCATTTCTATTACTTTAATACAATAATATTTCAAGTATATGTATCTTGGAAAAATTTTGAAAATCAATTCGTAAAAATTTAAATATTAATAAATACTGCTCAAAAATAATTTAAGATAATTCGAGAACTATTGTCGTAAAAGTACATTTGAAATAATATAATATTCTAATTTAAAAAAAAGAACTATGTTGAAAATCTTATCGACGTAACACAGAAGTTAGTTTCCATTACTGTTGATTTTACAAAATTCTCGCTCTATAATAAATTCTTTGGACAGCTCACATTTAATTACATAAAAAAATAATTTATATTTTCTTAACAATGTTCTATTTTTCAAACTATTCAAAATCAAAATATCCATAATACGATATTTAATAAACTTACCAAAAATGGTGTTGTTGGGATTCATGGCAACCTGATTTTTGGCAGCATCGCCGATTAACCGTTCAGTTTCGGTGAATGCGACATAGCTGGGTGTTGTACGATTTCCTTGATCATTGGCGATGATTTCCACTTTTCCGTGTTGGAATACACCGACGCAGGAGTAAGTGGTGCCGAGATCAATTCCTACTGCAGGTGCTTTGGCCATCTTTCTTTGAAAATACAAATTAAACTTGCGTCTTTACAGGAAGAAAAGAATATTGAAAATACTGTGAAGTTAAATTATTGTCAGATATCGCTGGAGCAGATGCGAACACAATCGAATACACACCTTTTTTCTTTGTTCGTTTGTAAAGATTCACTTCGTAGGACAGTGAAGAAGTTCTCCGCTTGACGATTCGCAGCGTAAGTGAACAGCCCCCACTTGCGTCTCAGTATATATTACATCCCCAGAGGACGCTTCTGGAATGTTCTTTTTATTCAGACACTCGTATCAACCAATCAGAAACGAGTTTCCATTGGACTTTGATTGTTACTGGACACGCGCCACAAACTACGTACATCAATGGTGGTATTTCAACGGTTATCGATCGGTTGGAAAATAGTTTATATACATACACAAAGCATTTAAAATTCTCGTTCCTTCTCGCGTTTCGATAAAAATTACGTAACTTTTTCTGCAACTATTTTTTAAACTAAAGTTTAAATGGAATAATTTTTTAAATAATTTCCAGCTAGAACATAGACATATAATACGAAAATGGAGTACAAGGAAGTGAAAAAAAGTTTAGTAACTATAGTCTCTAGAAGGTGTGCAGCTGTATATGAATGTGTGTATACATATATACCTGAATTAATACCCACACATGACTTTATTTGACATCCGTGTGTGTAATTTATGTATCCGTTTCTTTGATGGTCATTTTTGTATAGATAAAATAATTTTGGATTGTATTAAAATGATATAATGATGACTATGTTGTGTTATATATACATAATTTAAAAGCAACATGTTATTCACTTTATATAATAATAGACATGATAATAATTGCTTATGGAATACTGCAGATTAAAAAGTAATTTCAATGATTCATAATGCTGCATCATCATAATAACGTCACAATGAATTTGCTACAAAAGTTGTAAGAAAATATAGGCTATTAAAATCATGTTATAAATTTTAATTATAAATTTAATTGCTGTATAAATATGTGTATATATTTAATAAGTGTTTAGAATTTTATACCTTTATATTATTAGCTTACTTTCTGTTCGCTGTCACATAATCAATAAAATCAAGAAATTGGAGAGAGAGAGAGAGAGAGAGAGAGAGAGAGTACAAAGTTTTAATATAATGAAAATTTCCATTTGAAAATTTGCATGATGAATTCATACAAGTGTAACGTACACATTCTCATACTAATTTTGACGCATTCGAAACATACACATATGTATATATTTATGTGTATTGTAAAATTTATGTGTATATCGTACTTCAAATAATACGAGGTTAATTACAATTGGGAACTTTTTGAAGAACAAAAAAATATCAAATTTAATAAAAATTATATTTATAATATATAACGAGTTATAACAACCATTTATTTTGTAAAAATACATTGAATAACATACATAAATTCTACCATTGATAACAATAAAGATGAAGAAAAAGAACATAAAACATTAAATAATATTTTTACGATGTGTTCCTTCAATATATAAATATCATTTATACACAAAATATTAAATATAAAATATTGAAAACTTGTTCAACAGTAATTGATTTAAAATATATTTATTTTTTTGATCGTATAATATTTATGCAGTAAAGGCGAATTCGTTTTGTTCTTATCTCCTGAGATATCATAAAATTTTAAAAGCTTCTCTAGAGATATATGTCTAAGAAATATGTCTATATATGTAATAAAGTACAGTTATGAAATCAATGACGATAAGCGTTGCGCTAGAGTTCACGAATAGTGCAGAATTTTCCAGTACGTCCTCGTATATTATAGTTATACTACATCCTTTCAATACGCTACTACCATACATACATTCAGACACGTGTGTTGTTTATTCAAGGCACCTATTGAAGCTAGTTTTACAAGCATATACTTGTTATCATATATTTTATATCGAATGTGTGTAATTTATACGGCTATGGAATGTTCACGTAATCAATGTGAATCACACCTAAAGTCTAATCGCATATCTAATCGATGGAAAGCTTCTTCCTTCGATTATTTTAGTTAACTTTCAATTGTTGAATTATGATACTATATAATAAAAATGAACTTGATTTTGATAGATTTAATATAGAATTAGATTAGATTTGTTACTATGAAAGCAACAAATCTTCTTAATCTCATTTAATCCATCTTAATTTATTGTGCAAGAAGAGAACTAATAAAAGATTTGCAAAGAAAGAAGAACATCGAAATTTCGCGAAATTTATCCGTATCTCATTAATCCAATGTACATATATACATACGTATACTATCTAACCTATACTATTACATTATTAAACTGTAAAGGCAAATTGCGTAATTTATCTATGATATTATATCACCTTTGTAAAATCAGTAAAATAACAAAAATTTTTAAATAAATCTTTTGTTCAAATTCATAACGAATTTGTTTGTTTTTTTTTAACAAATAATATACTTGTAATAAAATAACTTGTTATAAATTCCTAGAAATAAAGTAGAAACTTGAATGAACATTACTATAATGTCAGTATAATGTGAGTATCTCCAGATTATAATACGTTTGCATCATTGTTAATCGTAAAATCTCATCATTAGCATTTTCAAAGGCTTTCAAAAATAGAAGAAAAAAGAAAAGGGCACAAGCAGGTGTGCAACATTAACGGTCAAATTATTCTTGTGTGTATGTGTGTATGTATTTACCAAGGCATTGTATGTTTTGTGACATATACTATATACATATACTATACATACTATACATCAATAAAAAAGCTTACAAATTTTATCATTATTTAAAAATGTATTGAATAAAATTCTTATTTTATCAATTTCATAGGAAATATTGGCAAACGAATTAAATAATTTCATTGACAAAATGAGGTGAAATCTATAAAAAATCAATCTAATTTGAAAGAAAATTACTTTGTACATTTATTGACTAAAACATTATAAATAAATATATTTATGTAATATAAATATCGTAGATAAATTTATTTATAATATTAATTAATTTATTATATTATTAATATTTACAATATTAATAATATTGTTGATATTGTTAATATACATTAAATGTAAAAATATTATTAATATTTGTAATATTTATAGAATTGATTATAATTAATTTTTACGCGAACACGTAATTATGGATTTGTAAGTGAAGAAAAAATACAAAAGTATTTATACATTTATTTATTTCCTTTTTCACAAGGTGAGCCAGCTGAAACAAAGTGGCCTTAAGTAAATATAGCTGTTATAAGGACAAACTAACTTTTAAAAAGAAACAAAGTTAAGGATATGATTTCTCTGTAATGTTAATGATTATTATATAAACAGAACTATCTTTTCAGAAGACACAAATAATTGATTTATACGATTAATACTTTATTATTATTATTGATATTTTGTTAACACTTTTTATATTAATTATTTATTAATATTTTGTTAATACTTTGTTATAATGTTATAATAACTATTGTATAGAAGATATGAAAGTATGTAAATAAAATTTGTGTACAAAGTATCTTCAGTTTTTCTTGATCAATAACAATTTACAGAATATTAGAAAGCATTTAAGTGTAAAAATTTATATTTTATAAATAACTATATATATATATTATAAAATGTAAAATATAAAATACCCTAACTCTACTATGATATACTTATCATTACAGACGGTTTCATATATACATAGGTGCATCTAACCTAATGTCACTGGCCACGTAATGTTAACGTGACTATGTCAATACATAGTTAAAAACACATAATTCGTGACCCAGTAGTAATGACATTTGTCTTCAAAATAAATAGAGTGTAATACTTTAATTTCATTTAATACAGAATTTAATTTAATCGAATGACATAGCTATTTTTTTACAAGTAATATGAATATAACATGTTGCTAGGTTTAGATGTCTCTCTCTTTTAAATATAACCTCGTTTGCCGGTTAGAACAATTTTTCATAAGTTATGTTTACATTCTCGCATCGAGACAGTTGAACATTATCATTTAATAGATGAAAATGACTGCGGTATGGGAAGTACATTTTCTGACAATATCAACGTTGTTATTTGTCCTTTGTGTACAAAGTTTGCAGAGTTTAGAAGTTATATATGCAATAAATGCTGGCGGTGAAGGGCATACTGATAGTTATGGAATTCGTTATGCTAGAGATCCTTTAATGGGCAAAGTTGGAACAGCATCTGATTATGGCAAGCAATTAATTATCGGAAGAGTAAATGCAATTGATCAAATCTTATATCAAACTGAACGATATCATCATAGCACATTTGGATACGATATTCCAATAAGTGAAGATGGAGATTATGTTATGATATTAAAGTTTTGTGAAGTTTATTTCAATTCTCCGAATATGAAGGTAACATTCAGCATTACAATTATAATGCGATATTAAACATTATCGTTGAGCATAACATGTTTTGAAACGTTTTCTTAGGTGTTTGATGTTGTATTAAATGGTGACCATACCGTTGTTACTGACTTAGATATCTTTGAGCGAGTTGGACGTGGTGTAGCACATGACGAATATATTCCATTCAAAGTTCACACTGGGAAGTTAATATATAATGACGAAGAGTCTGATATATTAGCTGGAAAAATTAGAGTTGAATTTATAAAAGTATTGTATTTATGTTTAGTATTCATCTATACAATTTAATTTAACTGCAATTAGATTAATTTTAAGTGATTTTAATTGCAGGGTTACAGAGACAACCCAAAGATAAATGCTATTGCTGTAGTAAAAGGAAATATAGAAGGTATCATCTAAATATGTGATATTTAAAAACTTTAAAAGATAAATGTTATAATTATTTATGAATGTCTTTTAGATATACCACAATTGGGTCCGATTCCACAGGAACCAGATGAATATCACAATATACAGGAAGATGAAGAAGAATCTACAGTTCGTAGTCGACATACAAGTGGTCCCAGAACTCCAGATCCTTATTCGATCGATGATTCTTCAGTAATGTTACCAATTTTTGTAGCTCTTGGGGCATTTATTCCTTTATTATTTTGCCTATGTAAACTATAGGCTAAGTAAAACCTTTTACACATGAATGCCTTGTACTTAAAAATGATAGTGTTCTAATCAGCTTAGGTAAATTTAGCATATGGAAAATTGGCTATGTTTACTGTGTAAATAGTAGGGACATTTTTGATTTTAAGGCAAGTCATTGCATTTTATTAAAAATATTTATTATTAATTTAATCAAGTGAAATCATATCTGAATATGTTTCTGAACGGCGAATAATTCGAATTAAGAATGAAATTAGAAACTTGAAAAAAAAGTGACAAATTGTGCAATTATGTTCAATAAATTAGTGAGAATTAGGTTTAATATGTTAGTTAATACGAATTATTTAATTTTTAAAGCTAGCAATCAGATATTTTGCACAAAAATCAGGGATCGTCGTTTTCTTTTTTTTTTTTTTTTTGTATATTCGAGTCCTGTGTATTTTCAGTACACTAAAGTATATATTAACACTAAAATATATATTAATTTTAAAAGAAGTTTGTAATGTAGTATTTATTGATATGATTGTAATGATTTGTGATTGCAATTTTTTTCTGAAACAATATTACAGAAAAAACGGAGGGAATAAGATAATACATAAAAATATGCAATATAATAAAGCTAAATATTTTATTTTGTTTACGCACAATGCAATAATTAATATATTAAACAAATGAAATTACATCTTTAATATTCGTTACAGAAAATTTACATATTTTCATACTTGGTTTCATTTCATCAACTTGTGTATTATTCTATTCGATACGTAGATTACATATTACGGAAAATCGAAATGAATCCGTCAAATACCAAAGTGATTTCAATTTTTTATAAATCAGAGGAGTTATTCTCCACTAGAGTTATCTTCTTCTAACATATTGTTTCATAAGTCCATATTTTACAAGTACAAGCTTTTTTTAATACATGTGTCTTATCGCCGGATTAATTTGTAATAAAAAATATTTATTTATTATAATAATTTATATTAAGAATTGTTTAAAATTCTTTTCTTATTTTTATTATCTGTAAAAATTATATTTGTTTTTTGTTCATTTTAAGAATAGAAAATTATAATTGCAAGACTGTTAAAAGAAATTCAATTGAATTTGAATAAAACTATTTGAGAGAGAAACAAAGAGCAAGGAGTGTTTCATTTTATTTAAATTTTGAACGATTGCTTATAATACGATTTAAAATCATGAAGTTTATATAAAGTAATCGCATTATTAAAAACATTTATATCATTGGATGAATTATTCTGAAAATTATACAAGCAATTTCATTTACTTGTATCTTGAGCATAACTTTATAATAAATAATTACACATTAGAATAAGTAATTACAATTAAAACTGATCGATTTATGGACGAAAATGCTAACGCCGTGTAGCGGTGAAACAGTAGAACTAAAATTTACTGTTGTCTTTGTCGCACATTAGTGCGTTCTTTGTCTAAGAACAGTGCCGCCATCTATATACCTCTTAGCTTCGACTGGAACTAAAATAAGAAAAATGAAAAATCCGATAGATGGCAGTACCACAACTATCTATGTAGCGACCTCTATTTTGAAGTATTTAGATCAACGATATCTATGTTCATTAAATTATTCTGTCGAGATGTGTATTTAATATAAACAATAGAATATTTAAAAATAGGTAGTAATTTTATTATCACCATGGAAATGTTTACAAATACTTATATATTGTAACCATAGTAGAAATTATTCATTCGTTATTTAACTTTCATTATTTAATCTTCATTAAATTATTAGTAATTATATATTTTGTTATATTGAGTATTGATATAAATTTAAATTAGCATAATCACTACATCTATGTAGGAACCTGAGTAGGTAAGGCAGGATTCTGCCGTAGGTTCACGTACAAAAATACACACGTAATTCTTTTTATAATTTTATATTTTTGTCTTTGGTTTAGTATCACAATTATGCGCTTACGAATTTCGTACAGACCTCTTAGTAGAACTCGTAGTAGCGAGCAAACGTAGGAGTGGTTATGGTAGTAGGAGTACTAGAAGAAATAGAAGGCCTTTTTCTCTTCGCAACCAGGTTTTATAACCTCGGCTTGCAAAGAGGGGGAAAATTCTTTTCCCGCGTTTTTTATTTCTACTACGAAAAAGATGTCGCTGCCTGCTTTATTGGAAACTCACCTTGCGACGGAAGGTTTTAGCGGATGTAAGTGGCGCTGTTTCAAATTGCGCGGAATTGAAAACCACCTAAATCTGCTCAAACTTTCCGTCGCAAGGTGAGTTTCCAATAAGACATGCAGCGACACCTCTTTTGTAAAAAATGGAAAACCCGGGAAAACTGGAAAAACGCGGGAAAAGAGTTTTCTCCCTCTTCGCAAATCAAGGGTAGTTTCGAAGAAGGAAATGCCTACTTTCGCTATTTTCGTTTCGCCTACTACCACTACTACTGCTGATAAGAAACTCCGTATTAAAATTTGTAATTGAACATTTGTGATATTCGCTAGAAGAAATAAACCAAAGACTATATATATATATACTGCAAAAAGCCTATACATATTTTCCTTGTACATGAACCTTGGGCAGAATCCTGCCTTACCTACTCCGGTTCCTACATCTATCTGACAAGGAGCACGATATTACAAGACAAGGACAGAAATATCTCGAATCTCGCGTTACGCGAGACAAGGAAAGCTAGAGTACGCGACGAGGACAACAATAAATCTTATTATTATTCTTATTTATTTATATATAGTAATTACTTATTTATTTAATTAGAAAATTATGTTATTCTGGGAATTAAATTTATTTTTAACATAAATTTGCATTTTTCACTTTCCATTGCGACCTTTCTTCAAATTTTAAAATAACTTTGCGGAATTTTGAATGAAAATCAACTATACTCCTCCTCGGTTTAATTTTTATTTAGAAACTTGTAACGCTGCATGTAGTTTTAATACTTATTCATGGATTTTTCATTGTATTTATTTAAAACAAGTTTTATCGTTTCATAAAATAAAATACAAGTTCCTCCTACTAATTGCCAGACATAAATTTATAATGAATGTGTTACGTGCGCACAAGAGAAAAAAAAAGAAAAAAATTCCGTGGGTCTGTTACAAATAGCGTTGAAAATTTCTTTCACTTCTTTATTCATACTCGTTTAGTGGTAATAAAGAACACGTATTGTTGAACGTATAATCACTCGCATCGTTTCGTTTCGTATCTGTTTGAATTTATTTAATATAATAGATATCACATTAACTCATAGAAGTGCTGTACATAGATGGATAGAGAATACATAAGAGTTAATAGTAATGAATGACGAGTTTATAATATTCTCTCGCAGTATACTCAACTTCGGAATAGGAACAAACAAAGAAAAATAAATATATATTATCTGTCGTTCACGTTTTTTGTGTGTTTGTGTGTCGTGTACGTTCGAGTGTGTGTGAATATGCCTGTGTTCGCATGTACGTGTATGTGTCTTCTGCGTACGTATTTGTACATACATATGTGTTAAATGTGTAAGTTCTCCTCTATAAAAAGTACGATGATTAATTATTTATCAAGTATAATGCATATATAAAATTAAAAAGTATAAAAAACCGTTCAGCTTCGTGTTTTCACGTTAAGAATATATTAAGAAACCGACTCGTACGGTCAAGCGTGACGTAACTCTCTTTTTCGGGTCCCGAATTTTAAACTGTTGGCGACGTAATGAATCTGCGCTGCAAATGTGCAAATGTGTTTTACAGGCCAGTTACAGCACCACGAGTGAACATTCTTTCTCCGTTCGATATCTCAGAGACCGCTTTCGGGAACGTATCCACTTATTTACAGAAAAAAAAAAAAAAAAAATAAAAAAAAAATAAAAAAAAAAAAATAAAAAAAAACGTACGATATTTTTCCGCGCTTCTTAGTTCGTATTTCTCCTTTCTCCATCTTTGCCATCCTCCCCCTACCCGCGCACATCCCGATTTATTTTATTACATACGTAATCTTTTGCTACCAGCGGGACATCACACTCACATTCAGCATGATCGAAGCAGTCAAAAGCGATAGCGTATATTTTATTTTTTCTTTTTCTTTTCCTTTTTCTTTTTAGTGTATATTATTTCTTACACACGTTTTTCCTCTCCTCCATCCCCCCTACGCCCTCCCATCTTGTTTCTCTTTCTCTCTCGCTTTCACTCACTCTCTTTCACTCGTTTTACATTCTCTCCATTTGCCAATATAGACAAACACTCATTATTTCATCGATACATGTACACATTAATATATTATACTTTATAGTTTACGCTAATTATAGTAAAAACTCCTTCCGGGTCCGTTATATATTCCCTAAGAAACTACATTTTTTAGCGGATGTTTCTGATGTTTCTTTTTTCTTTTTTTTTTTTCTTTTTTGTTTTTTCGTTTTTGGTAAAGAAAGTACAACGTTTTATATCAGTACGTGCGTGATGTACGATCGACATAAAGCTAAGATCGAAACCGGTCTCGCTCGCCGCAAATTCAATCGGAACTCATGATCAGTTGGTTGTCGTTCGGAGCAACCACAGGTGACAGGTCTTTCTTCGGTACGTCGTCGATTATCGTGTTTATTTCGACGTTTTCGGACACGCCGTTCTGTAGGACTTTTCCTTTGTTGTTGGCCGTTGTCTTTCCGCTTGACGAGATCTTGGAAACCTTCGTTACCGTGGTGGATCTCTTGGTCGGTGATGCAGCCGTGGTGGTCTTGGTTGACGAGGACACGCGTCTCACGGTGGTGGTCGTAGTAGTGTTACTCGATAAACGTGACGTTTTGCAAGCAGCGGTGCTTGTTCTTCCCATGGATATTTGTTTGTTGGCTGTTTCCTTCACCTGTTTATCAATCATCGGGGACTTACTGACGGATAGACGAGTTCTCGCGTTACTTCCAACGGCTGGAGCCGTTTTGGGTCTCGGGCTGGTTGTTGCAGCGATGTTGGAAGTGTTGGTTGTGGTGCTGCTGCTGGATTTTGAAGTCGTGCTAGACTTGACGGTCGTGGTGCTAGCAGAAGTTGGTCTCGGTTTCGCGGTTGTTGTCGTTGTTCCGGTCAACATTCGCGTAGTAGATGTTTTGACTAGCGTGTTTTTGGTCGCTGGTTGCGACGATTTGCTGGAAGGTTTGGTCGCAGTTGATTTACTCGGAGGTTTCACGTCACCGTTCATGGTAGGTTTTTTCTCAGCGAGAGTTGCTTTCGACAAGGCCGTCGTGGCGGCAGGTTTTGATTTAGAAACACTACTGGCGCTGGTTCTGGTGATTGGTTTCGTTGCAGTGGTCGATGTCGTAGTCTTTGAAGCGGCCTTTGAAATCGCTGGTTTGCTGGCCACTGTCGCAGTAGTTGAAACCGTGGATCTTTTCGGAGCGTCTAGGTCTTTTGGACGAGAAAGCGTGGTCGTCGACGGTTTCTTCGACGTTCGCGTCGCGGCAACTGCAGCTTTCGAGGGGGACGTTGGCATCGATTTCGGCGCAGCTGCCTTTGAAGATGTAGTTTTCGTTGGTTTTGCGGCGGATACCTTTGATTTTGTTTTGCTCTGTGTCGTCGTAGTGGTTATAGCCGCTGTCGCAGCTTTGTTTTCCGCTACCTGGACCGTCTCCTCTACCTTCGATTCCTTGATTTCGGATTCTTTGATCTCTGATTCTTTATTTTCTAGCTCCTTGCCTTCCAATTCTTTAGCTTGTGCTTTCTTAATTTCTATCTCTTGCGGCTCTTGCGGCTCTTGCGGCTCTTCCGATTTCAATTGTACAATTTCTGGCTCTTTAATTTCGGATTTATTGATCTCCGGTAAAAGTTCTTCAACTTCATTCTTGCATTCTACTTCGATCGTATGTTCTGACAGTTTCTCTGGTTCCGCGACGATGTCTACCGATTCTTCCTTTCGAGACACTTCTTTCTCGAGTTGTTCGTCGACTTTCGACTTGAGAATCTCCTCCTCCAAAGGTTTCAACTGATTCTCCAAACCTGTGAATTCCTGCATAGAATCGGACAGATTCAAAGTAGGTTCTTGAACTTGATCCACTACTGGTTCTATCGTTTTCGTTGGCACCGCTGGTTCCATCGGTTCCTCCGCTGATTCCGTCACTTCTGCCGCTTTGTCATCCTCCTCGGTAACGTTCGTCTCCTCTACAACATCTTTCGATCTTTCGACGGAGGATTCGAGAACAAAAGAACAGATAACATCGTCGATAGGTTGTTCCTTGGGTCTCTGGGGGGAAAGGGGTGGCGTCAATTCACTTTGGAACTGCGGCGATTTCACGCGAGCATCTTGCTCTTCGGTGAAATCGAGCAAATTCATCTGCTGTACCGTCGATGTCATGCCTATCAGCTTGTCGTCTTCCTTTTCATCGAACTGTGCGTTCGCACTCGCGAAATCCTGCTGAACTAGTTCGAACGCGTTGCCAGCCTCCGTGGAATACGCTTGATAAGGATCAACAGTTTCTTTCGTACGTGACGCTTGACAAACGTCGGCCACTTCCATGGAAGGAGACCGTTGATGAGAAATCAGCTCAACGTTGCCGTACGACTGGAAGTTGTATCGATCATCAGCCACGAGTTGCGACGTGTCCAGATGTAGCAAAGGTTCATGCGGCTTGGAAGACTGAACTTGTGCGCTTTCCGCGATTGCTGGCCCCGAATCGCTCTCCATCGGATCGGGGACCGGCGACAGAGACGAGGGCGTGTCAGCTTCGTTCGAGCAAACTTCCTTTTGGAGGTCGCTCGCGGGAAGAGCAGCATCTTCGCTGGCTTCGTCGATGGGTTTCGTCTCGTCGATGTCGATGCTCGACGGTGACAACGGCTGTTCGTTCGTGTCCACGGAAACAGGTTCCTTCTCGGACTCGAATCCCGCGGAATAATTGTCCGTCAAAGGAGAGTGATCGTACTTCGCGATTTCTTCCTGTTCCAATTGGGAAGACTCTGGCTGGAGATCCAGAAGGTCGGCGACAGTGTTCGTCTCAGCTTTCGTTTCGTCCGCGTGCTCGATGAAATTATCTTCGCTGTGTTCTCGTTGCGAAGACAGATTCACGAGTTCATCGACGGTTTTCTCGGAAGTTGCTAGTTGCTCGTTGTCCGATAGTTGCTTGGACTCGGCGGTGGTTTCCACTTTCGGCGATTCTCTCGCGAGTTCCTGCTCTCCCTGCTGCTGCTGCTGTTTCTCTTCCTCCTCTTCCCTGTCCACAATACTGCCATTCTGATCCTCCAAATCGGTGTTGCTCAAATTGTGAACGGCATTCAAGTCGACGCCCTTGTCGAACGCCGCCTCGAAGTCACTGGGCGTGAAGGACATGGCCATCGGATCTTTGGCTATGTCGTAGTCGCGTTCAGAGCTCGAGAATGACTCGTCTATTGTCGAGATACCCGTTCTGTGGAATTCGCTGGTTGTTAAGAAGCTGATTGCCGACTCGTCTCCGAATTCAGCTTTCGTCGACGAGATCTCCGAATCGTCCATGTTGGTCCCCGACAACAGGTTGCTCGCTCTCTGTTGATCGGACATCAAGTCCGTGTAGTTGTCGATACGCGGCGTATTGGCGCCATTTTGGTACTCGCTCTCCTCGGTATCGACCTCCCTCGGCCGCTGGCACACTTCCTTCTCGAATTCGCTCTGACTCGGTACTTGTATGTCGTCCATCTGCGGGACTTGTTTGAAAGGCGAGCCAGAGACCGGATAATCCTCCACCAGATTCATCCTCGTTTCCACGAACTGCGGCGACACGGGAACGAACTCTTTCGCATCAGGATTCAATTGAAAATCCATATCCTTCAGTCTGTCTTGCTCCTCTGCGCAACAATCCTTCGGTCTTTCCGATTCTTCTGTCCTGTCCTCGGTGCTAATCTATTTTCCAAACAATTAAACTTCATTAAAGTATCAAGCTTCGTTGGCACGCGTCAATAAGGGAACAAAGGGATGAACAAATATTTTTTAATCGGAGTAAATTAGAGCGCGGATTTTTATGCAAACTTGCGTTTCTTGAGAATTTGATTCAGAAGGGAGAGATAGCAGAGATAGCCTCGATTATTGGCAAATGTAAAAAGCAGCGTGCTTTGGATATTTTACACGTTTTACATTTTGCTCTGCGAATGCATGAAAATCCGCGGTCTATCGATGATCAAACAACGAATCAATTCATCGACAACAGAAAAATATAACAAAGAAAAAAAATGCAAAAATTCAAAATTGACCTCTGTGTCAATAAGCTTAGGCTGCGATTCCTCTTCTTTCCGGTTGTCGCATTTAATGTCCTGTACACCTTCCGGCTGGATTTTCGGCTCGATATCTTTGACAGGTGGCTCCGATACTTCGCCTTTCGTTTCCTCGGGTTCGTCGACACGCGTGCTCGCAGAATCCTTCTCCTTGTTCGGCTCAACACGGTAATAGTTCCATTCGTCTTCAGAGTCCTCGCTTTCCGCTACATTATCCGGTTCGTGAATCACTGCATGTCGAAGAGCTTCTGCGGATAATCAATCAATCAATGTTAAACAACAATCGTTCGGTTACCAAGTCGCTGATTTTCAGTCTCAAACTTGCGAGAAAAATTCTAGCGACTAGAGCTCGAAAGTTTTTACTAGTTATTGTAGTTTTGTTCAAAAGCTTCAAAAAATCGGCTCCTGAACAATTATACTTTACGCCGCGTATTTTGCACGCATCTACAAATTTAAATCAATGAAACGAATTGTTGTAGTCAGCAACCTGAGTATGCTCGGTCGCACCAGGGGTTAAACTCGTGCGAGTCACACCTCAATTATGTGAAAATTGTCGAGCCGAAAAGTGAAAAACACAACTTCTCGTTGTGCGCGTCGATGGTGATGGCAAAGGGGATCACTGACCAAGTGGAATTAATTTGGTCCTACAACTATGGTCTAACCAGTCGAATATATGCACGTAATAACGTCAGTCGACGTAGGTCAACGCAGAAAGATCGTAGACGACACAGTCCGTTCGATCGTAACTCGTCGACGATACGCGATCCATCCACTACGGAAGTAAATTAAAAAATTGAAAATCGTTATCGTTATCGTCGAACGACGATAAACGAAGATAATAAACAGAAAGAAACACTACAACAACGACGACGACCGGTTTGACAAACGCTTTTCGCCTTACGTCACTCGCTCTCTTTTCTCCACACCTGGACGGAGCAGAAGGATACAAAAGTGGGAGACAGAAGGGTAACGCGTGGCACACAACGTAGCCGTAGGAATACACGTAGTAAATACGTACATGTACGTAGAACACGGTCGAACGAGGAAAGGTCGAGCCGTCGAGTTGGTACTCACTTGGTTGAAAAAGGGAAGAAGCGGGTAGGATATCTGGCCGCAGGAGCGATCGCCGCTGACTAAGAGGAACTACGCCCGCCAAGAGATGCATTATCGATCTAGTCTAGAGAGCCCCCGGGGAGCACCCCCTTCCGCCACGGCCCTGCCACCACCCACCTGTACCACCCACCACACCACACACACATACATACACACACATACACACCGCGTGTAGCAACAGTCGCACCTCATCTCCGACAGGAACACGGTCGCACCGCGCGCCGCTCCTACGATTCGTTCTGGCCCTGCACACACAAGGTGACTCACCCTCCAGCCACCGCCGCCGCTGCCGTCGTCGTCGTCGTCGTCGTCGTCGTTGCCACCACCGCCACCGTCGTCGGTGCAGGGAATTTCCCTTTAAAGACGAGCAACCGGTGTTTCATCAAATTCACCCCACACCCTGTGTGAAATTCACGAAGGAATGTTCGTTCGTTCGTTCGTTCCGCGCCGCACCGAGTCGAGTCGAGTTCGCTGATCGACCCACCCCCTTCTCGACAGTTCGCTGCGCCTCCGAAGGACATCGTAGGTATTCGCGAAAGGGAGCAAAAAAAACACCCCAATCGTCGCCAATCCCTTCTATCTGTCGTTAACCGCTTGCGCTGGCAACTGACTGCGGACCGTAACGAGTGACTGTATACAATAATTCGTCGCTTTTTTTTTTTTTTTTTTTTTTTTTTTTGATATATCACTGAATAGAAATGATTGAGAAGTATTAAATTTATTATTTGTTTTACTTAAATATACTTAAAACTGACAATATGACAATTTTGGAATAAAAAATTCTCGACGCGAGGGGGGGCACGTCATTCCAGCGCAAGAGTTAATCGCGAGAACGTCGCAGCAGTACGATCTTCCGGGAATCACTCGCGGAATGCTGCCGATTTTTCATCGTGCTCGAGCTGATTACTCGAAAATGAATAACTGTGTGCCGATGAAACGAAACGGCACAATGTTAGAAACGATCGAATGAGATTTCGATTTACAGTTTTGCAGTGACGAAACTCGGTACACCAAGTTTCCGAAATTTCGGGAAAATTAGCGTATTCTGATAATTATGAAAAAGATGTCGTGAGTTGCACGTGACCACGTACTTTAACCCTCGCGTAGTCGACACCGGGTCACCGTTGACCCAGAACTTGATGCTGTATACGTATATAGGCAATGATAACAAATATGGTACCAAATGTGTCAAATGTTTATTACGATTTATATGCAAAGAACATGCAATAAAATTATAAATGTGTTTATAAAATTTTACATTTTTTAAACAAACTCCTCTCCTCCCCATATTACAAACATTATTAGACAACATCCTGTACCAAAAAATTAGGTGCAAAGCAAGTGTAGTAAAAATTCAGTTATGGGTCAAAAGCGACCCGGTGTCGGCTCATTTACGTTGGCTATTCGAGGGTTAAGACGTATTTTATATTTAAAAACGTGATATTGCAATGATATCAAGCGCAATGCTAACGAACGACAGTCAAATGACAAAACTAATGAAATCGATGGATGGAAAGACTGCATGATGCAACGAAGAGAGAGAGAATTTGCACAATGGTTGTTTGAATGAACTGTTGTTTGCGAGAACTTTGAGGAGGCAAAGGAAAGTTGTCTGGGATATATTCCAAAGAAAGTTCTTTTTTTTTCTTTTTTTGCCAACTTTGGTTTTTACTTGGTCTCTTTTATTTGCAAGTCATGTATACTCGTTCCATCGTTTATTTATTCGTGGTCACAGAACTACGTTCTAAACTACAAGTACTACACATCTACTACTACTATTTAGCTACTGACATTAAATAACATTTTCTTCAATGCTTACAGCTTATGTTTGCGATTTGTATATATTAATAGTCACAACGCGTGGTCAAGAATTATTAGCATATTTCTTTTCGAAATATTTATTGCATATTTACTCTCTGCACAAGCGGGTGTGTATATATATATATATATATATATATATATTTTTTTTCGTACATGTTCGCGCGCGTATTATATTCTCATTTTCACTTTTCACTCACCTTTCTTTCCTCAGCGACAAAGGTTATCTAACTTTTCTGCGATTGACGAATAACGACGACGAGAGTATTATTAAAGGGCACATTCGCCAAGTCGGGCCAAAAGTCGTGTCGATTACATACTAACATTCGCGTAATCGAAAACTCTAGAAATCTGTCTATAGAAACGTCGAGCGTAGAAGTCTGCAGAAACAGGCACGAGGGATGCCAAAAAAAAGGGCAACCCACGCGGAGAACGTTGTCTTAACTCGTTCCTAATTCCAACCTTCCTTTCAACTACCAACGCGAATTCATTCCAACGATCGCTGTATGCAACTTTCAATACACTTATGTATGTACGTATGTAAATGTATAGTATATAAATACAATATGTATACACACTATCTATCTATCTATCTATCTATCTATCTATCTATCTATATATATATATAATACTATAATATATAAATACAATATACATACATTGATCCTAAAGTAATATAAATTGGACCTAATAGTTAAAAAAATATTTTACAATAATTTGTCTCCAAAATGAAAACTGCAAATATATATATAACTATAATATGTAAATACAATAGATAGATAGTATATATATATATATATTAGTCTTAAACCTAATGATCAAGGAGATTATTTAGATAATTTGTCTCGAGAATAAAAACTGCATAGAACATTAGGACCATTTTCACATTAACACTCCGTGTACACTGATGATCAAATTATAAAATGTAAAATATCTCCTTGATCATTACGTTTAAGATCAATGTGGCTTAATACTTTTTTTACTTTACCTTTAATTTAGTATTCTTCCGATTCATAACAAGAAAAATGTGATCCAATAAAAAAAAAAAAAAAAATATGACCTTGAAAATTTCGAAACCCACAAAGAATTCACACGCCATATTTTTTCTCCCTCGAAACCATGTAACTTTTGTATTAAACAATTTTTCAGTGGACGCATAACTTCAGATATGTAAGTTACGTGAATCACCCTGTATATGTACTATCTGTTTCTCTCTCTCTCTCTAGTTGACAACTAGGTACGTATTTTCGTTGATCTTCAGTTCCTTTGGATTGTGCTTCGTTCGTACGCTCACAGTTGATAAGTTTCAACCTTTGGAACAAAAACTTCGACTCGAATCGAAGAATCGTTCTCAATATTGGCTCTTAGTCTTGCGTAGTATCTTAGATACGTAACTTGTATTCAACTTGTGTCGTTATATCGTATGTTTCATATTTATACTACGCCAATGTAATATCCCAAGTCCTCAACGACGCCTGCGCGACAATTCGTCGTTAAGAGAGAGAGAAAAAAAAAAAACAAAAAACAAAAAAAAAAGAATAGAAAAGAAGAAAAAAGAAACTCAAAGAAAAAAGAGCACGGTGCATCCCGAAAGAGGATCCTTACTCGTTGTGTTCCTACTCTTGCGTTTCTAGATGCTCCTTTTTTTTCCTGCTTCTTCGTTCCTTGCTCTTTCTTTTTTTTTCTCTCTCTCTCTCTCTCTGTCTTCTTCGTTTCGGCCAGTACGGTGCAACGCATCGGTCCAACTTGGAGTATATAGAGAGCAAGCGAAAAGCTAATTTTAAACCGGCGACAGCGGGCAGGACAGAGACAGAAAAAATAAAAATGAACCGCGCGACTCTGCCGCTATTCGAAGCTCACACACACGCACACACACACACATTCTCTCTCTCTCTCTCTCTCTCTCTCTCTCTCTCTCTCTCTCTCTCTCTCTCTCT